GGAAGCCCGAGGCAGAGTTGCTCTGCCCCGGGCTTCCTGGAATCAGCTGCTAATCAGTTTCAGCGGCAGCTGACTTGGGGTTCTTAAGTTGATTCTGTATGTAAGTCAGAACTGGCGGTCAGTTTCAGCAGCGGCGGAATCTGGACGCCAGTTCTGACTTGCATACAGATTCAACTTAAGAACAAACCTACAGTCCCTATCTTGTACGTAACCCAGGGACTGCCTGTACTATCTAATTGAGTAAATAATAGGAATGTGAATGTTTAACTAGTTAACCAGTACCTGGTGAGGATTGCCATTATAGTTGGTGGCAGGAGCAAAGGGGCTGCTACAGCCCTGCAGATAGGCTATTCAGTGGGAGGCTTTTTCCCTGGTGGGCCTGCCTGGTGCAGGTCGTGCCCGTGGGGGGTGCTCCAGCTCAGCTGTGCCACTTCTCCTTTAATTGGTTAACCATTTCTTGTTTAACTGGTCAACTGCCCCCCCTTTTTTAAATTGGTAAACTGATTAAACAATATGTTTAACCAGTTAACCAATTAAACAGGATTTTACATCCCTAATAAATAAGATTATATTTATTTTCTATGCTTTAATCATATTTCTCATTTCATTGATGCTTTAAGAATATGTTGAAAAACCCTTAAAGTTGGTACTAAAAGTGGCCGGAAATGAAGTCACTGAACTCTCTACTGGAAGCTCAGGACACGATTCAAGCCTTTATGAAGACAAAACTGAACATGAAAAACACAAAGACCGGAAAAGAAAAAAGAGGAAAAAAGGAGAAAAGCAGATGCCTGGAGAAGAAAAAGAAAAAAGAAAGAGAAAAGTAAAGGTAGATATTATCACACTATGTACTTAGGTGCTAAAAGCTTCACCTTGCCCAAATATGAGGGCTGGCCTTCACTACTGGGTGGATTAATGCTATGATGATCAAACCACTGGAGATTGATTTAGCAGATTTAGTGAAGACTAAGGATGTTAACTAGCAGTTAATTTACTAGACGAGTAGCCAATGGCATTTCTATCTACTACTTAATAGTCACTTCCGCATTCCGCAGCATACCAGCTTTGAAATGTACAAGAGTCCCCAGTCTGCCCTGAGTGGATGGGGATGGAGTTCATCGGAGAGCCCACTCCACCTCCATAACTTCAGCAGGTCCCTTATCCTGCCTTCCTAGAACAGGAGCCAGCTCCATCTCTGGGACAGCCTGTGTTGGCTGTGTGGTCACTCCCAGGGTGAGCAAAGCTGGGAGGTGGGACTCATGTTCAGCGGCAGTGCAGCATGGATCCTGGGATCAGCGGGAGCCGATTTGAAATGACATGCGGAGCTGGGGTCAGCTGGCAACTCTCCAGCTGATCCCAGGATCTGCGCAGCATTTCAGCAGAACCTGCGATTAGCTGGGGAATCCCCAGCTGACCTCAGGTTCTGTACAGCATTTCTCCAGAACCATTAGCTGGATCAACAGCTGATCCCGGGTTCCATGGAAATGCAGCACTTGAGCCCGGGATCCAAGCTGACCCCAGGCTCCATGCACAGCAGCATCACACAGCTGAGCAGGGGGATCAGCTGTGCCGCGCTGCCCCTTTGAATGCTGCTTTGGCATTTCAGAGGGGGAGTGCCACACAGCTGATCCCCAGCTCAGCTGTGCCACACTATCCCTTTCCAATGCCGAGGCAGCATTTCAAAGGGGCAGTGCCGTATAGCTGAGCCAGGAATCAGCTGTGCAGCACTGCTGCTTTGAAGTACCCTCTCTAAAGGCAGCAAGGGGGGGCAATCGACTAGTCGACTTGCTAGTCGACTAGTCCTTAACATCCCTAGTAAATCAGCCATCTATCACGCTCCCATTTACTCTGCTAAGGCACCAGAACGAGATGAGTAAGGGGAGTGAATGGGAGAGTTTGTCTCATTGACCCCATACAGTGTTAACTTACTGATAAGCAGATCTAAGCTACATCAGCTCGAGTTATGCTACTAACATAACTCAAATTGTGTAGCTTAGATCGATTTCCCCCCCGCCCCCCATATTGTAGACCTGTCCCAAGTCATTAAGGTGTAAGAGAGCAGTTCTGGAGAGATTTTAGGATTAGGCCCTCTAAATTACTAGTAATTCAGACAAAGATGAATGCTCTGTGTGCCGGAGTGCGCTGGGGTGAGGGGCTTAGCAGCAGGAATGGGGACCTGGGGGATCTGCACGATAGGAGGGGACATTTACCTGGCACAGTTTCCTGAGGCCACACATGGCTCAGTGTTCCCCCATGCTCCCAGGCCTTGCCCACTAGTGCCTTTCGAAAGGAATCCCAAGATTTCAGCAGATCTTTGTTTCCTGTTTTATGTAATCTGAACAGATTTAGATGACATATTTAACAACAATAATGTGATTTCTACAGCATCACTGAAATTGCTTAACTTTCCCTTTCTAGGAGGATAAAAAGAAGCGAGATCGGGAACATGCTGAAAGTGAGGGAGAAAGAGAACTGAAATGTCAGACTCCTGTAAGATTGGAATTACCACCAGAGAAACCACTTGCGAGTAGTTTAGCAAAACAAGAAGGTAGAAATCCTTAAGAATTAATTGGTTTTGTTGAGGTGTTTTAAAAGCAGAAATTGGTTCCTCAAAAATGTCCTGTAAAAGGTGTCTAGTATTCAGCTTTCATGAATTCCATTTTTTTAAAACTGGGAATGTTTACCTAGTTTCATCTTGATAATCAAATGACTTGATATTTGATAAATTTAAAAAACAAGAAGTAGTCTGGTAGCACTTTATAGACTAACAAAACATTGTAGATGGTATCATGAGCTTTCATGGGCACAGCCCACTTCAGATGACCAGAGTTTTGAGTTTAGGATGCCCAGACTCAAAATAAATAGGGGAGACAGGAGGGGGGGAGAAAAAAAATGGAAGGGGGCGGGAAACAAGAAGCAGATGGTATGTAAATATGAAAGGCAAAACTGGTAATCCATAAACACCTACAAATTGGATAGTTAAAAGAAGCAGATGAAGATCATAGGGTAGCAATTAGAGAGGAAGAGTACTAGCATATCTACACAGACAAAGTGCTGTTGGCACCTTCATTGTTTGGTTGGTTCATATTTAATGCCATTCAAAATGGCTGAACTTTGATATACTGCTGCTATGGTGGCATTTTCAAAATGAGGGTTGTTGCTTGTAAATAAGGCATTGCTGCAGTGCTTAATAAGGCTAATTAGAAAGGTAACCCACCTACTGTTTGTAGTTTGTGCATTTAGGGCAATACAATTAATATTTGACAGACCATGAATTTGTGGCAGTTTTGTGAAAGCAGATGATGATCTCTTTGTAATAGTTTCTTTTCCTCCCTTCTCCGCCAGAAGTGGAACAGACACCACTTCAAGAAGCTTTGAATCAACTGGTAAGACAGCTGCAGAGGTGAGTGTGTGCTCTAATAGTTTTCAGGGCTATAAAATAGAAATTGATATAATTAGTTGCTAAAGCATTGAAAAAAATTTAAGCAAGGAGGCCTATTAACAAGCTTCATCAATTTTTAAGTGCTTGATAAATATTTTGCCTGGCAGCAGCAGTAATACACAGGGTTCACGAGATAGATTACACCCCGAAGAGCCAGCATGGAGCGATCTGCTCATGTGCAGAACGATCTGCACGTGCGCAGAGGGCAGAACCGTGTGGCTGGCGAGCAGGGCTCGCTGCCACTCGGCATGCCCTGGTAATACAAACTGTCATACATTCACATGTCAGCATTTTATTTGCTTTATTGGCAATTTGTAGAATATTCTAGAAAGAAGACAAATTGACGTGAACCTCAGGTAACAGCTACATACAAATAATTGAAACTGAGGGGAGCTTACAGGGCTATTTTATAAATTTAACTACCAATAGTGGAATATCAGAAAGCTTGGTAATGTCTCCTCAAACTTCCTTTAAATACCTTCAGTTATCAAGTTTTAAAGCCTGTTGAAAGGAAACAGCATGTCAAATACACTGAACTCGCCACAAAGATGTGTCCCTTGTATGTCAAAGTATTTGGTTTGCAATAATTTGTAATTATCATTCTGTCAATTACTTCATTTAACTGACTATTAATTTATGTAGTTCAGTCTTTAAAGTAAAAGTAAATTCACGTACAAATTAATACTTTCCAATGCATAGTGTGAGCATCTATTGAATACAAAATTCAAGTTAGCAGATTTTTTTTTTTGTTACAATTTGTTATGACTTTGCAAATCCTCTTAATTTAAGCCTTCTCTGTCTGAATCTGAGCGCATGAGAGAGGATCACTGTCTGTGTGCTTGGTTTACAAATGTGAAGATGAGGGGATAGCAGGTTAAAGAGCTTGCTTTGTTAACCACCCTAAAGTTTCCAGTTCTCTCCCATTTTTCCAAAATCAGTTAGATATACACTATATTTAACTTAGTCTTCTACTTAAATCCAAGCTCAGTATGTTCCTTGTTATAAAAATATAGTTAAAAGAATATTTTTTTGTATATCTTAACAGAAAGGATCCAAATGCTTTCTTTTCATTTCCTGTGACTGACTTTATTGCTCCTGGCTACTCCATGATCATTAAGCACCCAATGGATTTTAGTACTATGAAAGAGAAGATCAAGAACAATGGTTACCAGTCCATAGAAGAATTAAAGGTGCTTTTAAGTACATTTTTGGTAGAGACAGGGATTAAAACTTATGATTATTCCCTCTTGCGTAGTTTGTCTTAAAATGTTCATATTCTATTCATAAGAAATTGGCAGAAATCAGCACATGTAATCTAAGGAATATTTTCTGTTGACCTTGTAAAAAAATATATACTACTTGCTTCCAAACAATGGCAAAAACAAATGCGTATGGTACTGTGTGTGTGTGTGTGTGTGTGTCTATCTATATATATTAGTATAACTGTAATCCATTTTCACGATATGTCTGCTGCTTGATTGTAGGATATAACCCAATGAATTTTCAGCACTGTGCTAATGGAGTTAAATTTCTACAGCTTGTCTAGAACCCAAAATGTGCAGTGTAGTTGTAGATACATAGTCCCAGTATATTAGAGAGAGGACATGGGTGAAGTAATATCTTTTATTGAGAAAGGTACTTTGACTACCAAAACTGAAGAACTGTGTGGCTCAAGTTTTTCTCTCTCTCTCTCCAACAAAAGTTCTCACAGTCCTTGTCTCAACCAAAAACATAGCCTTCTACTCTTAAAGCACACAAGTGCAAGTCCGTAGGAACTTTATTACGGAGTCCAATGGTTGCTATCACTTTGTAATTCAAAATTCCATTTGATGTCTTTATTTCAGTATAAAATTGCAAAATTTACAATGGCTTGCATATAACCAGAAAACGTAATTGAAGTGAATGAACTTGTCATTCTTGCCTACCTCTTACTATTTCATCAAATTTGCCTACCCCCGAAATAGCAAATTTAAAAGTAAAACATAATACACATATGACCCTTTTACTGCTGTTTTCTATCTGACAAGTGCAAGTGTGAGATCTCCAAGGAAAGCTGTTTCTGTCTGGCATTGCCTTTATCTTCCCATTAATAATAAAGAGGTACTCAAATGTCTGTCAAATTGCTTTGGCCTCAAGAACAAACCTGTCATCTCAAGAAGAGATGAGCTCTCATCTGCAGGCCTTTGTAGATGTCTAGGAGTTGGGAAAGAACCTGTCATTTTGTTGGTCTATATGGGGAACTCTCATGCTCAGTGGAATTCAATGTTTTCAAGAAATTAAAGATGCTACTTCTAACCGTTCAAGTTAAACTCAAGGGTTAAACTGATATCATGGCTTCTCTGAATAATGATCCCAAACCCCCTGCAATAGGTCAGTCATAAATCTAACATAACTGGGGTTAAAGTTAAACTCAGCCCCAGGGACTGGGTCACAGTGCTGTGATGTCTCTTCAGGTTTCTTGTTGCTGCCAAAAAGGATTTCCTCTGAAGATTCATAATTGGTTTCCAAGAGCCAACAGTCATAGCAAAAAGGATATTAAGTACCATGTAATTCACTAATTGAATAGTCAATGCATTTTTAATTGACTATTCGATTAGTCAATAGGATGGCGCTGCCCCTTTGAAATGCTGTGGCTCCAAGTGGCGCTGCTGCTTTGAAGTACCCCCCTCTATCAGATGGAGGCAGCTGAAGCGACTAGTCGACTAGTCCTTAACATCCTGACATAGCAATGTGCCTTAAGGGCTTGATCGTTTATTCCATGTGCACTAAAACTGAACAGTTTAGTGTGAATGAGTAATACACAGGCTTAGGTACCAAAATGCTAAGCTACTCATCACATTTAAGATCTGCTGCCGTTCTAATCTGTACCCCTTTCCTGGAAAACTGAGGCTATAAAATAACTGTATTTCATTGGGATGTGGAGATAATGTAGGCAGAATCAGCATCACTTTCAAGGCAGCGTAATATAGTTTTACTTTTGTTGTGGCACAGAACACCAAAGCAACCTTTGTAATCAGCAATCACATTGTTCATGGGTAAAAATACTCAGTAGCCCTTCACCTGCCTGACTAGGTTCAAATGAGGCCCTCAGAATTGCAATTTCTGACAATAACGTGTTTGCAATTTGTGCAGCTAATATCTGGATCACTGTTAACTTCCAATTTTTTCCCAAAATGAATGTTCTTACTCAGAGCTCTGAAGCTGAAGAAAACATTCCATTGTTGTTTCAGCTGCATCAGATTAGTGCGGTGCACAGCTCTACAGAATCTGTTTCTGCTTGCTTTTTTTGGCTTCTTTGCCTTTTATACACAACTGCACTGATTCATAATGGAAGATATTTTGTGCCAAAACTTAAGTTTTCATTTCAACTTTGATACACGGCGTAAATAGTTGAATGGGAGGTCTAGCATATCTATGTAAAGAAAGTCTTGACATAGTTCAGGTCATCCTGTTAGTCTTTTCGATACCCTTTGCTAAGATTAGAATTCTGTATTTCTGTCTCTGAGAGAGACAACTAACACCTCAATGAGTAAATGCAATTCATTCAAGTAAATATATATTTTAAAACAATTAAGGATTTCGGGCAAGATTTTAAAAATGGAGATCTACATCCATAAGTAAGTACTTAAATAAGCAGCTTTTTTTTTCCAGAAATCCTGAGCACCCAACAAATCTCGTATCAGACTGCTTATGTGGGTTTTAACATATGGATAAATTGTCTAAATTCATATGTTCTGAAAAGCTTGACCTTACTATTTTTAATATTAAATTACTTAAAACATCTTTGAAACTGCAACAGACTTTTTTGAAGTTTTGTTACCTTAAGCTCAATACACCACTGGTATCTTAGCTAATTATTTTAGTATTTCATCCTTTATGATCTATCTTTACTCTGATTCAAAACTTTTTTTGTACAGGACAACTTCAAATTGATGTGCACTAATGCCATGATCTACAACAAACCAGAGACTATTTATTACAAAGCTGCAAAGAAACTACTGCACTCAGGAATGAAAATACTGAGCCAGGTAATGAAAAATTTAAGTATCAAAATTTTTGTTTGTTTAGTTAGTTAGTTAGTTATGGTCTTTGAGTGAAGTAACAGTTGCATGAGCATCCCCAAACTTTCTTTTCAAGATGGATTGAGATAATATTGTAAATGCATGCAAGACTGCAGAGTCATTTGGGATCTGATACAATAAGAAGGAACTGTAGTATTTCAAATATTGACATAATTTCTGCATTATAAACTTTTGGTTGAAAACTGTTTACTGTTCTCTCATAGGTCAGTTGTAGGGAATTTGTTTATGGAAGACAAATATTAAATCCTGCACAAATATTGCTTTTGCTGTTAAATAGGTGGGACTTAATATGGGATATATTTTCTTTTAGTATCACCTTATCACGGGCCGTTGAATTTCACCAGTTTATCTGTCGGTTGAGCCCAATAACTTATGCTTGACACAAGCGTAACTACCAGAAACGTATCCAGTCTTTATCTGAAGACTTGGGAGATGGAGAATCCAAAACTTCCCTGGGTAGTTTGTTCTAGTAGTTGATCACTCTCACTGTTAAAAGCTTATTTCTAATTTAAATTAATTATATTAGCTGGTGTGTAATTGAATAGTCATGTAACTGCCTCAAATTTTAGCAATTACATGACTATTTGATAGTCCTGAGGGGCAGCCAGTGTGCTCCTAGCCCCACTCCCAGGGGAGCCCCCTGCCATCCCACGCTGCTGTCACTGATACAGAGGCAGTAACGCAGGGTGGCGGCAGTCCCTGTCCATGGGGTGCCCAGCATCAGTCCTTGTTTGTGGGGGGGGGGGGGGCAGAAGCCAGCCACAAAGCAGCCCTTGTCCATGAGGGGATTCAAGTTTCTCATAGCATCCCATAGAGCAGCCTCTGTCCACGGGGAGCTGGGACTCCCCTACCTCCCCCCCCCCCCCCTCCTCGCGCTGCTACCTCTGATAGGGGGCAGGCAGCACTGCAGAGCCGGTGCTGGGGGACCCAGCTGTCAAACAGTCAATCTTCAGTGATACCCCTCCGTTTTAATCAATTTTGTGGGAGATGGGATGAGAGAGAACTAGGAATGTTTTTCACAGGGACTAGTGAAATAATTTGATCCTTCAGATTGCTTGAAACAAAGTTTTAAGATGCAGAATACACTTTAATCTATTGTCTCTTCCTCAAACCTGCTAATGCTTCCACTATTTCTTCCCTGCTAGCCTTACCCTGATATTTCGTTGTACCATTGTCACTCATCTTTGCTAAGTGTTGCACTTTATCCTTTGCTGACATCTTGGAGTGGGGAGGGTTGACATTACAATATAAACACACAGTTTGTTCTTTGCACCCTTGTCACTGGGAGCTATTGAAAATTAAGACGTTGAATCAGTATTAGATACATTAGAAATGAATCAGATGGTATGTGCTTTAAATGAAGGAGTACAGAAACCTGTACTGGTATGACTTAGAACATTAAAATAGTATAATCTTTGAGCATTGTTTAGCATTAGATCTTTTTAGTGTTTTACAAATTCTAAGTTGTTAAAGTAAGGCTTTTTTTGTTTTACTGTAGTGCCTGTGGGTCATTTTGGTGGATTCTTTACAAACACAAAATAATAGTCTTTGTCCCCAAAAGTCAACGGTCTAAATAGACAAAATTAACCAAGGGTGAGATAGGAAAGAAAACCAATGAAGGTATTTGCCTGAAGTCACACTAGGTCAGTGGTAGGTTTCCTAAGACTTAGTATAGTCTCGTATTCACTGGGTAACATTGCTTCTTAGAGGAGCAATGTAATCTTTTTAAAACCTGTTCATAGTACATCTTAGGTTATTACATTTGTTTTGCTCTGAACAAACTGTGATTTCAGGTACACAGCAGCAAGATGCAAAACAGGTGAAAGACTGGAAATTCAGCACCTTTATACAGCCTTTTTCTGTGGCTGATTCTGACCTCTTTATTGTTATGTCTTTATTTTCTTGTTCAAGAGCCTGAGCCTTCCTGCATTACTTTGCTCTTTCCTTTTCCTGTCTGTGTGGGAAGGATTCTTTAGCTTACTGAAAATTTTAAAAAGAGATTGCTTTTTGTTGCAGCTCTTAGCACTAAGAAGAACGGCCCTGCTAAAAGTCCCCTCTCTCTGTTTACAAACCCATTTGTTACACTCAAACTATAGTAATACAACTGCAAAACACATATTCTGTGATGTTTTATTGCTTTTAAATGTTTACCTTGGAGACTGAAAATTGTTCTACACTCTTATAAATAGTTGGATGGGAAAGTGGAATAACTTTGTTTTTCTGAAGGTTGAAACGGTTCCTGGTTGGTTTCTTGGATGGATATAATAAAAATATGCTACTTTAGAACAAATCATGAAATCACAATAAGAACATTCTTTAAATATTCAGGAGTTCATTAAAATCTCAATTTAATTTAGATTTGGGGGAGAGGGATAGCTCAGTAGTTTGAGCATTGGCCTGCTAAACCCAGGGTTGTGAGTTCAATCCTTGTATATAAGCAAAATGTTTGTTTTTTTTAAACTGTATTTACACTAGGGCTTTTGCCAGACACTTATGTGTATGGATAGTGGTGTTTTTTCCCCCATGCTTTTAACCAACACAACTATGCCAGTAGAAGTTTCTAGTGTAGAAAAGCTCTAAAGCTAGTTGCAAACACTACGTTGACTTATTTTAAAGAAACACCTTGCCATCAAACTTAACTGGCTACGAGCATTACATTGTTAGAGCTGATAACTTTTTGTGGCTACTAGAATTGAACCCATCTGTACACAGACCTATCACTTCAGTACACATTTCCTCTTGAACTCTTTTCCGTGTTTTTCATAATATTAATACTGTGTAAATTAGTAAAAACGCAGCATTTCTCTACTGAACGCTAATTTAGTGGAATGGCATCTCAGTCCATTTTTTAAGGGTCGTGCTCCAGTACTGGTGCCACACTTATTAAATACAGTATCCCATATTAATCTATTGATCATCAAATGATTCAGACAGCGTTGAAAGAAAAGCATTTAAGTTAATATTTATGAATTAGTTGTAAAAGTTAACTGAAGATGTGAAATGAAAACATGCCTTGTATATTTTTAGGAGCGAATACAGAGCCTAAAACAGAGTATAGATTTCATGGCTGACCTGCAGCAGAGCAGGAAGCAAAAAGATAAGTTGGAATTGCAGCAAAGTGGGGAAGACGATAATGTTCCTGGAAAAGACAAAGAAGAATCGATGGAAGCGGACATCAAAGCATTCAAAAGCCCCAACAAGGAACATAAAAAGTGAAGTATTGTTTAAGTAGTGATTGAAGTTACTCAATCTAATTCTATTGAAAGATGTGCTCTTTGACATCAGTAGACCTGACTTGTTGCATGTCTGGCACTGCATATGTACCAAGAACTCTGATTGCTAATATCAGGGAAGTTATTTTGTTTTTTCCTCCATTCTTTTCTTCTAGGTCTGTCCTCTGGTCAAAATAATCAAATGTGTGTGTTCCACTTTATGAAAGGTCTTCATTTTGCATTATCAGGGTATTTCTGCACCAAAATTAACTCATTTGTTTCAAGATTTAGGGGGGAGAGGGAGTTTGTGTATGTGTCTGTAATTGTACTCACTCAAGTAATGCCGGGTTAGTGCACGCTGGCAAACATGATTTTTCAAAGGTTTTGGATGCACTCTATTGAGAATTTCAGCTGGCACCTGTTATGTATTTGATAGGAAAAAATAGCTCTTAAACGCTGCAGAGAATGCATGTAACAATAGCAGTTCTTCTATATTGAAATATCACAAATACTTCAAAATATTTGCCAGTGGCTTCATTCCTCTGAATGTTGCTACTGCAAGATATAACAATATAGTTCCAGCAGATCAGTGTTTAAACTGTTGTAATGTACCAAAGCTATGTTTTAGTTTATGGGAATGCAACTACAGAGCATAGCAGTAACCCAAACTAGCAAATCTCTAACTGGAAAAACCCATGTGTAAAGACTTCTGCAGAGATATGAGCACACAGAGAACCAAATTATTTGTATAATCGACTTTCTGATTTGTAGATAGAACTGGACAGGAAAAAGTCTTCCCATTCAGCAAGAATTTGACTTTTTGTTGTGATTCAGGATGGAAATGTTTTTGAAATTGATTGAGATCTTTTACAATCCAACAACCTGAAAAAATTCATTTTGGATCAATCAAAACATTGTTTTAGTTGATTCTTTAAAAAAAAACCACAACTTTTAGTATAAGCTCAATTTCAAAACAATTCTGAAATCCAGTCCCCTTAAACATTGTTGCTTTGAAAATGTCACAATGGGTCACTTTGATAATTTTGAAACTTTTCAGCTTCGAATCTAATGTGTCAAAGCAGACCTTTTCCTGCAAATAGTTTGTTTTGATTTATTGGTGTTTTTTAATGAAAAAATATTTTGGAAGAATATTACCAACCAATCTTTAGTCACAATTTTCTAATGCATGTTTTCTTGTGTTTAAACCTTCTCGTACTGAACTCCTTTGTACATACCAGGTACTTTGAGACATGAGACTGTTTCTCCATTGGACTGTAAAGTGAGAAATTGTATATACTTGCAGGAAAGACAAAGATCTGCTTGAAGAAAAATTAAGGAATAACAACTTAGAAAGAGAACAGGAACAGATTGATCGTGTCATTAGAGAATCTGGAGGAAAGTTAACAAGACGACTTGTGAACACTCAGGTGAATTGAGTCTATTTGGAAACCCATTTGTTTGCTCTTTGGGAAATGCCAATTTAATATCCTATATCATTTGAAATTCTGGGCATAAGTGGTATAAATGGCATTGCATTTTATTTCTACTCTTGATTCAGATCTAACCTTTTAAAACACAAAGTTGAAAACTACTTTTCAGTTGAATATTTATTGAACTTAATAAACTAAACTCTGTAGTATGGTCCATCATGCTTCTTGACTTCAGTTGAAATAACATTGTAAATTAATTTTAGAGCTCATTTATGCAAGTCTGGTAGAAACAGTTTTAATCAAAGATTAAACTTTGAGTCACTTAAACTTTATAATAAACGGTACAGTGTAGAAACTCAAAATATTTTAATGCTAGCGCACAAAGAAAATTACTATTTCAGACTTAGTCCGTTCTAAGTAGACTGATAACTGTATTTAATGATGCTGGGATCTTGTGCTGGGATCAGATGTTAAGACCCTAGACTAACACAATCAGGCTTGTTTCATTTGTGACCAAATATTTGAATGTAGCAATTACATTCCTAGAAAATCACGTTATGAAACTGTTATGTGAACTAAGATAAATGGGAAAATAGGGTTATGTTCCCAGACATAACAAAGTTGTACACTTTGAGAATGCTGAATCGATGGCACACTCATCTCAGGCAGCTCCCTGTGCCTGCTGTTCCTGGTAGAGGTGGAGGTATGGCGAGGAGGCTTCACACGCTGCCTCCTACTATAGAGCTTGGGGAGGGGATTAGGCAGTGCATAGAGCTACCTAGCCAAGAACAGTAGGCCACAGGGAGCTAACCCCAGGGAGCTTGGATCTGGGATTATACCTCAGGCAGCTCCCCTGCTTGTTCCTCGTAGAGGCTCGATTAGGCGGCTTTAGGCACTGCCCATGTCCCTTGCGAGTACTGCCTGGGCAGGGCAGAGCCAGTGGTGAAGGCATCCGGCAATACCATTTGGCCATGTCTCTGCCAGGAACAAACAGCATGTGAAGCTGCTTGCAGGGAGCCCCAGAGATAAGCACCTGTAGATCTGGCATCATGAGTGGGCTCCTGCACTCCAACTCCCTCCTGTCACTCCAACTCCCTCCTGTGATTGCTCTTTATATAAAAATAGCATGTGCAACATAAAAATGGGTCAATAAAGGAAAACTATGGTATGTCAAAAATGCACCCGTAAAAAATGCATGTTACATAAGGGTTTACTGTATTCCCTTGTACCTTTTTGGAGAAAAACTTAAGCTACACAAAGATCTTTGTTAATATTAATAATTTCTATCACAAGAAATCTGTTCAGTCTTTCACAACAATAATTTATATTTTCCCTATCAATAATGAAATTAGAGTTTTTCAGAAGTTGGTAACTGGAAGAGATACAGATTGTAGACTATTGGTTTAAAAAAAAAGTGAATTTTAACGTTTACCATTTAAATGATTGAATACCTTGTGTTGTGACCTGATAGTATCAACTGAAGAATAAGTGTAAAAATAGCAAAACTAGTAGGGATGTAACATCCTATATAAAATATCAACCAGTGAATTTATATGCTTACCCGGTTAACTAGCTTCTGCTCCAGCCGGGCAGGGGGATGGTATGCTGCCGGCAGAGGTCTGTTCTAGCTGGGCCAGGTGCCAATTAATTGCGTACCCGTTGACATCACTAAAAGCTACTGTAGCGTCAAAGTTCATGGGTCAGATCTCATCTCTTAATACTCTTCTCAATAAATAAGGAAAATTTTCTTTGACCGTTTGAGTTTTAAATTGTCTTACGTAAGTTCTTATTGGTTCAGATACTAAATCTAAAGTTATTTGTAAAATCAAATGTTTTAATAACTTTATTTGGTTTCAGTGTGAGTTTGAAAGAAGAAAACCAGATGGTACAACAACATTGGGACTTCTTCATCCATTTGATGCTAACGCAGGAGGTATGTTTCTCTGTTTAGCATGTTAACTAGAGACACGCTTCGTGTGTGCTTCAGCTGCCATCAGCCATGTCACTGTTTGCAGCTCCTTTACATCCAGCTCAGCCGGGCCAACCACGCTGTGGACGGGGAGTGGGCTGCTTCAGTGTCCCCCCCCTTACCTGTGGCAGGCCAGTTAACCAGTTAAATACAAAGCTGTTAGGAAATCCTCGGCTGACAAATATGCTTTGCCACCTCTTCCTGCCATATGGTTTAGGGAGCATTTCCAGATTAAGAGGCGGAGGGTAGGAGGAACGGGCAAGACTACAGTTTTTGGCTATTCCTAAATTATGGCGGTGCCGCACTAGTCCTTGATGGACTTCAGAACAGAAGGAAGTATAAAGATAACATGGTTGCACTTACCTCTCACCAATGCTGCCCAGCCCAGTGATTGTGCTTGCAAACTCTCTGAGATGGGTCTTCCATGACTCAGCTCTCTGGCGGAATCTCTGTCTGATAAAAGCAAAGCAAACCCTTTCTGGGTACAAGTCTAATTGGGGGCTATTTCTTCACTCTCAATAGGGATCTGCAGCCCTGTCCTGGGGCTCACTCAGTCAATTCAGCACAGCCTATCACAATACTCTGGCCAAACAGTCTCTCAATCCCTCTGGGCTCCTTCAAATTATCCCCGCTGTTTATGCAATCTAAGCCCTAGTGTGAGGCCACATTCCTCAGAGCTCCCTCTCTACTCTTTGCGCCTCTGGGCTTTTCTGGCCTCAGTTCTTCAGCTGGGCCACTAAGAGTTCATTTCTCATTTTGGGGGTTCATCAAAGTCCAGGCCACTTTCACAGTGGCTGGTGGAGGGAATTCTGGATCTTCCCTCTAGACAAGGGCTCAGCCTAGGGACCCTTTGGTTATCAGCTGTCTGTAATGTCCATTTAAACAAACTCTGTTGCGGTCATAATTCATGGGCTACTCCTCTATAACTCCTGCATATTCTTTACCTTTATCTCAGTGCTTTGTTCTCATGGAATATCAGCAGCCAGCCTAAAGCACCAACCATTCTCCACCAGCTCTTACAAGAAACTGAACTCACTCTGGCTGGCCCAGCAACTCTTCTTAGAATAGCCTGCTAGGCCCAGATTGGCTGCGTCCTACGTAGCTGCTCTAGTCAGCTTGGAGGACCTCTCTATTGCCCTGTTCTGGGGTTGGGGTGTTATATGGCCACAAAGGCGTAATCTACACTGTCTCAGTAACAACACTGTCCCTTCCCCATCTCTGGTTTCTGCACTAAGCAGAACAAGACAAGAATAAAGATCCAAGTTCTGTTACCATTCCATGTCAATTTTTTTTTTTTTTGTCTCGTATTGGAGAATGGAAGGAGAGAATTTTTTTTTAAACTTTATATTAGCATTGAATTTTCCAGGAAAAGTGGTGGTCTTACCAGTAAGTATATTGTTGTGTTTAAACACATTGAACTTTATATAACCAGAAACTGGTATTATTTAGGTCTGTCTTAATATTTTGCAGAAATTTGTTCATAATGCAATTTTGACACCTGATTTTTTTTTGAGTATCCATAATATAGTTTGAACTTAAATCTTTATAATTGCAGACACAGAATTTGTGCACTGAACTTCCATATTAAGTTGAACATTTTGCATCTGTTTAATGTTGCTAAATATTCCTTGGTCACTTCTATATTGTGCTGTATTGTAGAACCAGGCTACAGCCCTGTGAAGTTAGGTATGACAGCTGGAAGACTTCAGTCAGGAGTTAATACATTACAGGGGTTCAAAGAAGACAAAAGGAACAAAGTAACTCCAGGTGAATATTGAATTTTCTTTAAACCTTTATTTTCTTAAAAACAGCAGTAGTTCATATATAATAGGTATTTGAACTTCACAACAGCCAACCACAGAGATTAGAACTCGGTTTTATACTGCTGTTAGAGCTAAATTGCAGTGTGCTTAATTGTTCTTTGAAGCAGAATATTGCATATTTTTCATATACTGTGTATTAAATAACTAAGCAGATCTAAAATATTTTCTAAGGCCCTATCTACACTGCGAGATAAGGTTTGAATTTATTAAAGTCTTTCTTACCACTCAATTTTGTAAAGTCGAAGGTCCATGTCCCTGCTGTGTGCAAGAATTCGAAGTAGTTTGAAATAGCACATCCCCAGTAGGTAGACTGCTGTTGACTTTGAGAGCAGTGCACTGTGGGTAGCTATCCCACAGTGCCTGCAGCACTTCGCATTGTGGGTTATGCTCCCCTTCATACTGGGACCAAAACTGTGCAGCGGGTGGTTCTAGGTTGATGTTGTCAGACTCCCATAATGCACTCATCTGTTTCCTTCCTTGAGATTAATGGGAAACAGTCTTTTTGCCCCTGGTTACCTGCACATGTGCCATAACAGCACAAGCATAGCCCCCCCTCATGGATCTCCTTGTGCAAAGAACTGTTATGATGTCTGCCATGGTGTGCCTAATGATGGAGTCTGTTGAGAGCTTTTGCACACTCCAGGAATAGGATGAGAAGGAATCTGGGCATATTAGAGACACGTTGTTTAGGCAAGCCCCTGATTTGAGTGAATTGGAATACAGCCGGCAATCAGTTGGACCTCAGTGAAAGCAGTATTCCCTGTGTGGTGGCAGCATGCGGCATGCACCATAACATTTGTAAGAGTAAGGGGGAAAGCTTTATGTGGCAGCATAAGGGCCAGAAGCAGAGCGCCTAACCAGAATGTTTGAGCATCCAGACACCAGAGCAATAAGGAGAGCACAGCACGGGGCAGTGAAAGTCAGAGTGGCTTTGAAAGAAAGTTTTGTTACTGGCCAGTTTTGAGAATCATGCACATTGCTTTCAACGAGCTGCCTCTGAATTCAGTGTGTTTGCTTGGGACAGCTGCACCACAGCTCCGGCTCCAGCAGCTACCACACAGCCCACCCTGGCTTCAGGGCTAAAGCCACATGGTGGCTGCGCAGCTGCTCTTGGGCAATCATATTCAGTAGATTAACTTTTCCAGTGATCTCACATGAAGCATCTTGCATAAAGCATAGTCTAGTTATGTCTTCACATGAATAAGCATATTTTCATGAAGAATATTAAGCACCAATGTAGACTCAATAACTAATAAATATAAACTAGCTATCAACAAGTTTAAGGTTGAAATAAGACAAGGGTTTCTAATCATCAGAGAAGTTAAGTTCTGGAACAGCCTTTTAAGGGGAAAAAACCTAGCTTATTTCAAGAGTTAGCTTGACAAGTTTACGGAGGGGACGGTATGAGACTGCCTGCAGTGGCATGTAGCCAACCTGTAATTAGCAGTAAATATCTCCAGTGGCCAGTAATGGGACACTAGATGACAGGGGTTCTCAATTATTAAAACATTATTTCCCAGGTGTTGGGTTGGTTGATTTTACCCACTTACTTAGATGCTGATAGCTATATTTGGAGTTGGGAAAGAAGTTTCCTCTGGATCAGATTGGCAGAGATCCTACAGTTGTTCACTTCCTTCTGCATCATGGGGTATGGATCATTTTCAGGTGTAAACAAGTGTAAATGGTGGATTCTCTGTAACTTGAAATCTTTAAATCATAATGAAGACTTACTTCAGTAACTCAGCCACCGGTTATGGTTCTATTACAGAAGTTGATGGGTGAGGTTCTATGGCCTCCAATGTCCAATTTAGATGATTATGAACTGCACATTGAGATCAGACTTAGATTTTTAAGGACATAAGGAACCTCAACCATCTATGTGGAAATACAGATTTATGCACATAGTGATGGCATGCCTTTTTACATCATGCTTTTTTATAAAATTGGGCCCTTAATGTTTAGAGAATTCAGATTTATGTAGGGATTAAAAGCCAAATAACTTTTACAAAGCATAGAAATGGGATGGAAAACACAGTGAAGTCATCTAGTCTGAATCCCTGCCAATGCAGAACTGTACTTCTGTTTATTTTCTAGTGCTTTAACTAGATGTAGTTGAAGGAATGCTTGTATGTAAGAAACTCTTGGAATTACATTGATACATCAAATTTAGTAAAACTTGTAAGAAATGCATTGTCAAAGGTTCCCTGTTTGGGACAATTTTACAACACTGAATATTACTCAGGTTAGAATATGATTTTGTGCATATGTAAGATAAGAATAAATTGTGATATTGTATTATTCAACAGTGGCATACTTGAATTATGGGCCCTACAGTTCTTATGCTCCATCTTATGACTCCACATTTGCAAATATCAGCAAGGATGATTCTGACTTAATCTATTCTACATATGGAGAAGATTCTAATCCAGAGTTTTTCAGGTAACAAACAACGATCTGTATTCCAGTAACTATCTTGAGAGTAGTAGAGTTTATATAGATTTTGTTAATGATTTGTTTTATCACAAGTTATGCATATCTTAAAAAAAAATATACTGAGCAATTGCAGCATATAATGCCCCATTTTTTTTTGTAGTCTTTGGATAACTGATGTTCAGTTTTTCCTCATGCAAAGCAGAATCAAACTGTGATGCATAAAATAGGTAATGGGTGACTTCAAAATTATCTGGGTTCAACTTTCATACCTACCATATGTAGCAAAGTTCTGGCCATGCCCTGTGGGTCTCTCACTACTGGCAGATAACATTAGCTTCAGACTCATTGTGGTCCTATACACAACCTCTATCTTTACAGGAGGGAGCATCCATGGCTTAGTGAGCCATACTTATCACAGGCTAGTCCATGGTTTTGGGGTGAAAACTCCTTGATAGTCCTAGTCTCTCATCTTGGCTCTGTGTTGGCAGGGGATTGGGGGAGGGGACCCACCCACTATACTGGGTTCTGGCCCAGGGTCCTTAAAGTAGCAGTAGTAGTCAAGGTTGTTTTTCCTTCCGACTTGGCAGCTTTTTCCCTGGGCCACTTGCCCTAAACGGCCATTTCCCCTAAACAGCCCCTCCAAATGTCTCCCTCTGGTACCTGTTAGCTCACAGCCAACTGCTTCTTCTTGTTCCTCCTTTCTTCTTCTGGTCACACTGTCTTCCCCCTCTCCTTAGCTAGAGGAGGCCTTCTAAAGCAATTCCACTGGCTGTAATAGGCTGCAGGTGTTGAGTGACTTGCGTGATCAAGCTAGTTAATTAGCCCCAGGTGTTTTCCTGCCTTCATTTTTTTTTATTGCAGCAGGCTTTAGTGGTTTACTCTAAAAAGAGAAAAAACACTTACACAGTGCTGTGTATACCTGCCTTCTGCCTGAATGTGGCAGGCTGCTGGGTTAGGTCTGTCTCACATAGTATCATCAAAACTTAATAGCTTTCTTCCAGTTAACTATATTTCTGTATGCTTGTGTTGTTTAAATACTTAAAGGTATTTTGCAGTTGGATGCAATGGTGATGTGGTTGGTAGAAATCTCTAGATCAGTGTTTCTCAAAGTGGTCTGCTAAATCTCCTTGAGAAACACACTGAGGCTACGTCTACACTGGTGCATTTTCTTTTGTGGAAGAGTTCTTCTGCAAAAACTCTTCCGGACGAGAGCATCTACACTGGCATGAGCTTTTGTGCAAGAGCATCCATGCCAGTGTAGACGCTCTCTTGCGCAAGAAATTTATGTTGCCTGTCTACACTGGCCTCTTCTGGAAGAGCTCTTGCGCAAAAGGGCTTCTTCCTGAGCGGGAGCGTCAGAGTTCTCGTGCAAGAAGCCCTGATTTTATACATTAGAACGTTAATTTACTTGCGCAAAACACGCGGCCGGTGTAGACGGGCAGCAAGTTTTTGCGCAAGAGCGGCCGCTTTTGTGCAAGATCGCGCTAGTGTATAGACAGCCTGACTGGCATGCCAGTTTGTTTACTTACCAGCCCTGCGGCCATGGAGCCTCGCAGCTCCCGTTCACCGTTGTCTGTAACCAGGGGCCTTGGCTGCAATCAGTGAACCGGGGCAATGGGAGCTGCAAGGCTCCATGGCCACGGTAAGTAAACAAACTGACAAGACCAGCTAGCATGTTTCTCAAATTGGTTTCACAGACCACATTGAGAAACACTGATCTAGGGACTTCTACCAAATCACCATTGCATCCAACTGCAAAATACCTTTTAAGTATTTAAGCAACATAAGCATAAAGAAATATAATTAACTGGAAGATACTTAGTGTGCAAAGATGTTCTGGAAAAAATGAAAATCCACTTACATGAGTTATTTCACTGGTAAAAGAATCTGTTGTTGTTGAAATTTAGAAAATGTGCCATCCTACTTTAATACTTGTTTAGAAATTGAAGAGTGTTGATGGCTACAGATGTAGAGACAGAATACTACTTACAATTTCTAAGGAAATTTATTATGTTGGACATGAGGCATTTTTATTAGTACAGGTTGCTCCTCTTAGTCCAGGGTTCTCTGGTCCTACAACTTCCGTGGTCCCGCATGACCATGGATGTTCCAGGACCAGAGTGTCCCAGAGCATTGCAGGGAGGTGGGGGCATGGGAGCTGGCGCACAGCTCACTTGGGATGCAAGAGGGGAGCCAGCAAGCAGCTCACCT